ATTGATTTGGATTATGGTCTGCCTCGATCACGTCATTCCACTGCCAGAAGGTGCTTTCGTCGAAGACGACGTCGCGAGACACGTGAGCTCGCCCCCTACAGGATCATATAGTCTGTACGCCTTGCTCCCGGGTTCATAACCGATGAAGACGACCTTCTGCCCCCTAGGATCGAGCTTGGCGAGGTGGGGACGTGTTACCTTCATGTATGCGACGCAGCCGAACACGCGGAAATGATGTATCGCTGGTTTTTTGTTGTACCAGGCCTCATATGGCGTCTTCCCGTCAAGGCTTCGGGTTGTTGACCGATTGAGGAGATAGACGACCGTCATATTACTGCCTCTCCCCAGAATCTCCCAGGCATCCCGGCCGTCACCAACAATGACCTCGCTGTCCCGACGATGGTCTGATTTTGGCGCTCCACCACTCTGTTCTATTGGAGGGAGTAGGGCATTCGTTAGGTGCCGTTGTATGCCGATCTCGTCACAGTACTTACCGAAACTTTTCGAGGTGAACTCTCCGCCTCGGTCTGTGCGTAGCACTCGCATCTTTTGTCATTGGTAGGATGTTCGAGGCAGAAAGGGTGTGCGCGCCTCTGTTTGCCGATGAGGCACCCGTCGCACAGCTTGTTCACGCCTTTGATTGCTGGCAAACAGTGCACCAACTCCTCCGTCTGTAGCTTTTCTAGAGCAAGAAAGCTTAAGTGCCCGTACCTTGCGTGCCACCTCCAAGATACCTCTTGGTCTTGGTCGAGAGACTGACGGGTTGCTCTATCTCTAATTCTAGGACGGTGATGCGTCCTTCAATCTTGACGACGGAGTCGTCGCCGAATTTCACCGTCCCGCTACGGCTCTTTCTCGAGTTGAACATCGTCGTCGATTACATCCATCTTTGTGGATTTGGAATCGACAATGGCATGCTTTTACCATGAAGAGAGCTGAATCGACAATGGCATGCTTTTACCATGAAGAGAGCTGACTCGTCCTCCTCGAATTGCCTCCTTTCGGCCTTCTCCTTGTTCCTAAGTTTGCTCCAGCAATTCCTCTGCTCAAGTGTCCTCTCTTCCCACAGTTCGAGCAGATCGGCCTGCCATTGGTCGGACTCCTTCTTTTGATTCTCATCTTTCCCGCGCGTGTGCCTATGGGACATCCATGGCTTCTTACCGTCTTTGCTGCTGGTGGAGGACCCGTTGATCTCGCCGATGTTGTCATGGAGCTTTAGACGTGCAAGCCATTCCTCCTCAGTGTGGAGTAGACGACCCTCCTTGTCAACAGCTGAAATGGTATTCCATCTCAAGCTGATTGCACGGTGCGCTTGGTGGAGAAGTCGGCACACGGCGGCGGCTGGCGTGGAGGAGTGAGTGAGCCTGCCCGAGATGGGCCCCACGAACCTGAGACCAGTGTGTAGTTAGGTTGACGCTCTAACCACTTGAGCTATTCAACTTATTTGTTGATAGATTGGCTCCTCACCAATCATATACACTGATGGCTTCAACCTGGCTCTGATACCACTTGTTGTTTTTTGATAATCAGCCAGAGAAATTTGGTGAGAGGAAATCGTCGACGGGAGGTTGTTAGTAGAAAAATAAAATGATAAAAGAGAGAGAATGACTGAAATTTTGACTTGGTTCAAAAAATGGGTTATCCAATATTCTGAAAAGATTTCGTATTTAAAATTGCCGTCTAAAACTTTGGTGATCCATTCGACGTGTTTTGTCAAATGGTCAAATAGAGGTATTCTGAAATCGTGTGAATCAATAAGGAAAAACTGAAAAAACACAGGTTTTATCTAACATGGGCGTCGGTGGCTACGCCGGTGGTGTTGCGGGGGGTGGGTATGGATGCAATATTGGAGAGACATGAGTGTTGGGGTTAGACATGGCGGATCGCGGTGAGGAACAGAGGGTTCTGGTTTGGGTTAAATTGGTTTTAATTCATGTTAATTTGGACACTAATTTTATCATTTAATAAAAATAAAATATCTATTTAATTATTTTCAAATATTTAATTAAAATTTACCACTTAATTTTAATATATAATGAAATTAAATAAATAAAAATTTAAAATAAAGAGCTTCTCTGTCGAGCTCGAGCATTCGATTTGGAAATGAAGAGCTTCTCCTTTTCCACCCTAATTCTTCGATCGCCATACCTGAGCCCTAATCCTTTTCTGCTCCTTCAATGCCGAGGAATTGCCAAGGTTCGCCTCAAATGGGTCAAGAATCGGAGTCTCGATCACATCATCGACACGGAGACCGATTTGAAGGCCGCTTCCCTCCTCAAGGACGCCATTAAGCGCTCCTCTACTGGCTTCGTTACTATTAAATCCATCGCCGATTGGCAGAAGCTGCTCGGCCTCACCATCCCCGTTCTTCGCTTCATCCGGAGGTATCCGACTCTCTTTCACGAATTTCCTCATTCTCGTTACGCTAATTTGCCTTGCTTTCGTTTGACGGATACCGCGCTGCTTTTAGATCAGCAAGAGACTAGTGTTCACCAAATTCATGAGAGCGATACTGTCGAAAGGCTTTGTAGAGTGCTTATGATGATGAAAAATAGGGCTATTCCTCTTCCGTCGTTGCGTCCTCTAGAATGGGATCTAGGTCTCCCGTGTGGCTTTGAGAGGTCATTGATTCCCAAGTATCCGGATCATTTTCGATTAGTGAAGGCCTCGAATGGGGATTGGTGTCTGCGGCTTATGGAATGGGCCGAGGAATTTGCAGTTTCAGCCTTGCAAAGGAGCAACGAGAGCTCTGAACTGGGCGATGCGTATAGGCAATTCAAAAGGGGGCGTACCACATTGGCTTTTCCTATGAGTTTTCCGAGGGGATATGGGGCACAAAAGAAGGTAAAAGCTTGGATGGAAGAGTTTCAAAAGTTACCTTACGTTTCTCCATATGAGAGTTGCAGGCAAATTGACCCCAACAGTGATCTCATGGAGAAGCGAGTTGTTGGGGTTCTACATGAGCTTTTGAGCCTCACTCTTCACAAGAAAACTAAAAGAAACTATTTGAGAAGCTTGAGAGAGGAATTGAATCTTCCCCATAAGTTCACTCGAATCTTCACCCGTTATCCCGGAATCTTCTATCTGTCTTTGAAGTGTAAGACCACGACTGTTTCTCTTAGGGAAGGGTATCAGCGAGGAAAGCTAGTGAACCCACATCCCTTGACACGTCTTAGGGAAAAGTTTTATCATGTCATGAAGACTGGTCTGTTTTACCGGGGGAAAGGTGCTGCATTGATAGAAAAGGAGGGCATTCTGCTTAATAATACAGCCGAGGAGATGGTGGAGAATGGTTTGGATGTTGAATTAGATGAGACGGGTGATGATGAATGCTTAGAGGACGAGAACTCGCAGGCAGAGGAATCTGATTCAGATTAATGGAGTCTGATAACTGGATCCTCCCTTTGCTAGTTGCCAAAAAAGAGGGACAAAAATCAATGCCTCCTGTGCATATATATGCGAAATGTGAGTTTACTCTTTTCCTGGTAGTTTTTATGCAGTTGCTGGAAAAAAAATTGTATTATTCCTTCATTAGTTTGGTTCATCACTTGTCTGGGAGGAACTTAAAGGATTGGGAAACTACGGAGCAATTGATTTGATTGCAATTTAGACTGATTGAGTGATATCTTTTGTTTTGCTTGCAGTTTCATTGGCAGATGACTCCATTTGAGAGATCGACATTGTCCCATGCAAAGCAATTCTTTATAGTTTATGTGATAAAGACATAAGCTATAGAGGAAAGAAATGGTTTGTGGCGACAGAGAAATGGAAAGATGGTACTATCCACTTTCCCAACCCAGGGAAAGAAATGCTGAATCTTTCCTATGTAAGAAACAGCTTCTTTTTCATACTCCGTGACGTTCGAACTCAAAACACGATCCAGCAAAAAGCTGAAGAGGACATTTCTGGTAAAGAAATTATATATTTGCTTCTTTGTATAGATTGGAGTCGGTTTAAATTCATAATTTATGGCCTTTCTTTTTCAAGGCTGAAAAGAGTTGTCCTGGCACTTCTCTTCTAAAAGGTTAGACAATGAGATTCATTTTGTTGGCGTTTTCTCTGTTTGAAGTCACATCTGGAATTTTATTTGTTAGCTTGTAGACTATGAACAATGTAGAGACATGCATATAGTGTACGCATTGATAGACCAATTCATATATTTGGACAACAAACTTTGTACTATAAAATCAAAGGAAATATATAGCTTAGATGTTGGGGTCGGGTAGATAATCATCGTTAAGTCTATATGATTACAGAAGATTTCTTGTGGTTGGAGCACCCATCAAGAACGGGTACGATTCGAAAATGAACCCATCGAGGCTCTCGTCTTAAAATTCCTACTTATTGTAAAACCAAGTGGTCTGAGGCCCTAGAAGGGAGGCATTTGGTAGATCCATATCGAATTCTCTTACGACACGAAGAGTCTGAGTGCTATGGACAAATGGACAATGGATGAAGATGTGATGAATGGGCAGTTTGTGAGCAGTTTATAGAAGAGAGAATAGTAATAACAGGGTCTCTTTTAGAGGGGAGGATATAGAACTCTATAAATATTTATTTTGCTGATGGCCACATCTCCATAGTCACTTGAGAATAAGGGCCTTGTTATTCTGTTTAATGGAGCCTAAGTGATTTCCTGTTCATGTTATGTCAGAGTATCTTGGAAGAAAAAAAAATTCAAGTTCTCGTGTTTTCTGTTGTAGAGGAAAATTATCGAAATTATCGTTGCATCTAATATTGATGAATCTCAACCAGGATTCATTAGTAAACTTTGTGGAAGTAAGAACTTAGTGAAATCATTATTGCCAAATTTTATGGTTGGTTCAGATCGGTGTTAGACGAACACAACTCTCCACAATGGTATGAGCATAAGTTCTCATGGCTTTGCTTTAAGACGTGTTAATAAAATCCATTCCGGGAAACAAAGTCTTGGAGTTCTAGTGTTAAATGAGTTCGGAGTTCATTTAACACGGTACCTAATCCCATACCCAAATCCATTGTGCATCAAAGGGCCTCAAAAGATGATAGTATTAGACATCAAATCAAAGCTTATCAAACACAACCCTAAATCCTTAACTCAAAGTTGAGCTTGTAACTATAGATATATATACATCATGTATAGATGAGAGGTAGGACATGGGCTGGCATTGTTCTTTTAACTTGGGCAAGTTGGATGGAGCATGCATCATAAGGGGAAATTAATACTAAAATGTGAAGAACAAAAAGAACTTGCATCATATATATATATATAAATATATATATATATATATAGTGTACCTTGATTGATCAATCAAGAACAACAAGCTTCTGGTACTCACTGCCGGAGACAGCCAGCTCCATGATGGCATCCGGCTGAATGACGCCGTCGCCATTCAAAAACAAGTTCATCAAGTTCTTTGAGAATCCACTGACCAAAGCCATCCCCTTCTCATTTGTCGGCACCGGCGTTGCCCTTGAATCTCTTAAGTTCCAAAACACAATCTGTGGAACAGATGATCCATACCCTTTTTCACTAAACTTCCTTACTATAACTTGGTAATCTGTTTCCCACGAGTTTGCTGATGCTTGATCGAACTCCATGTCGCTGAACACGAACACTCTCTTTATCATCTGTTCTTCCTTCAACTTTGCATCCACAGCCACTTTCAGAATTTGATCAAACACCTTCTGAAAATTGGTATTGTACCCCAATTCCATACTCATAATGAATTCGGTCTTCGATCTCAGACTGTCCCCTTGGATCAAATGAAGTTGAGGGTCCGCAGAGAATGTAATCACTTTCCCTTTCCATGGATCTTCACTCAATTCAGATACCAATAGACCCAAAGCAACACAAACTTCCATGGGAGTCCCGTCCATACTACCAGACACATCACAAACAGATATGCAGTTTCTCAACTTCCCTTTCTCCAACAAATCATCCACCATTCTCTTCCATTGAAGCTCTGCCACTTCTCCGCCGTCTTCCTCGCCATCGTTCAAAGAAGCTATGATCTGGTGAGGAAGCAGTGCACCGGCAGCAATCTTGGTCTTACCGGACTTGACATCTTCTAAGTATTGAGCAAACCGTTCCCCATCGTGTTCGATGAACTTTTTCTTGTAGTTTTTCATTGCAACAGAGGCTACCCTGTTGTAAGGGATCGCATTCCACTGATTAGCTCCCATGAAAATCTCCGGCAGCTCCAACACCTTCCGGAGCGGCACCAAAACTTGCTTCCTCAATCTGTCGCGAACTCTGTACGCATAATGCGCTTCTTCGATCCCTTCATATTCCGGATCCGATTGACGGGGGAAAAGCTTCCTCGCTATGCTCTCGCAGAGTAATGTCGAGCGATCGAAGGATGAATCGACGGAAGGGCACCATTTCGCAGCGAGACTGATTTTATTTAATTCTCCGGAATTCAGAAATTGAAGATCATATTTCAAGCAATCGGCGAAGAAGTCAGAGACTCGATCGTACAAGCGTTGGAAATTTGGATCGGATTGATAACGTTCCAAAGCCTTCTTCGCCATCGAAACCTTCTTTATCTTCCTCTCTGTGCTCGCCTTCTCTTTCAATATCATCGATCTCTCCATAGCCTTCGCAATTTTTGCCTCTACGTCCGGTGAAAATTGAATTTCTTTCTTCCTCGTCTTCAGCTTCTCTTGCTTGAATTCTCCGTGGCTGGGAGATCGCGACCCTCTTTCAGACGACAGCGATCTCCTTCTCTTCATATGTCTGCCTTTCCTCCTCCCAATCCACTCAGCCTTCTGATTCTTCCTCACATCGGAACCCTCAAGAAGCCGGTAGAGTAACTCCGGCAGATCCTTGAAATAACCAAAATCAGCAAGAGAAGGAATGTTACCGGCTAGGGTTTTGGGATGAAATTTGTGAAGCCAGAGCGCAGCCGTGTAGTATCCCTCTTTATCGGACTTTCCGGTACCACGAACACCTCGCAAATTACAGATCAGCTTCAGCGTCATCAACGGATTGTGATTCCAAGCCACACTCAATCTCTCAGTCAAAGATTCGGACGGCGTATCAGGGACCACATGGAAGAAGAAATCGAGGCAAGGATTTCCGGAGGAGAGAAACGTCACCGACATATTCTCCGTGAAGCCCATCGGCGGCAGTTCATCATCGTTTGTATCGAACTCGTTGAAGTTGGCAACAAGAGCATCGACGAAGGGGTCGCCGGTGGGGGTTGGTTGCGTTGGTTGAGATGGTTGGAATGCGGTGTAGAGCTCCGGAGGACCGAGAAGGCTTGGAGGAGCCATGAAATCGAAACGGAAAAATGAGTCGGATTGACGGTGGACGGAGGAAAGGATTTGCACTTAATTTATAGGGAATATTGATGCGTGGGGTCCAAGAAAAAATCACATTTATTTTTTATATTATTAATTAAGAGAGAAAGTCAACTCTCATTTTTTCAATAAATATATATTATAAAAATTAGTTTTATGTTACTAGAATTAAATACGACAATTGGTATAAAAAATAATCGAAATTAGTGTTTTTATTTAGATTAGCTGTAAATTAAAAAACTTATTTATATCATGCGCACATAAATCGACCCGTCTAATATTTGATTTTGATTAGGTTTAAATAAATAAAAACTTTTATAAATTGGGTTCGTCGTTAAAACTAGATTATTTTTTACCATACCAATTTAAAATTATTATTAATTTTAAAATATTATTAGAATATATTTTATATAACCAAGATTTTATATTTGATATATTTTATTTGATTTTTTCGATTAGAATTTTAAATTGAATATATTATATTTTATTTTTAAATCCCATTTTTTCTCGTTCTTAACCTAACATAGTATCAGAGCATCATTTCTAATATGGTATCAAAGTATATCTTTAGCAATATATATTTTATAATCAAATAACTGTTGTTATGGTTACTTAATTTAAGGTTTTGTTTATGATGATTAGAAAAGAATATATGAGAATCAAATAACTACGTTTAGTCCTAAATAAGAAATGTTACGAGAATTTCATATAATTAAAGCATTTTCAACATTTATTATCTTATTTTATTTTAAATAATTAATTATCTTAAGGTTAGATAATTAAAATGATTTTAAATAATTTAATTTTCATTTATATACTTTAAATTTTAGGTTTTTGGGTTTATTAGATAATAAAGGTTAATAATTATCTTCAAATAAATGATTTTAATAAAAATATACAAACTTTTAATTATAAATATTTGATACCAATTTGATACCAACTCACAAAAATTAATGTAATGCAGTATATGGTAAAGTAAATTATCTTGAATGAGATATGTTTATAAATCTTATACTATTATAATAATTTATTAACAAAATAATAATATGTCTTAAATTTAAATTTAAATTTTGCTTTTATTTGTTAATAAGTATTTTATAAATATGCATTATGAGTTTCTTAGCTAATATTATTAATAATTATTTTTAAATAAATAATTTTAATAAAAAATATATTAAAATTAAATTGTAAAGTTATCAAATTAAATAATTAATTATAATAACGTATTGTGGAGTAAACTATTATATGATAATAATAATAAATAAATAAATTAATTAAAAAATAGTAAAAATAAATAAATAAATAAAAAGAAAGATGAACAAAAGTAAAATAGAAGAGGGTAAACGTAAATAAAAAAAAAGAAAATGAAAAATAGAATTAAAAAATAGAAAATAAATAAAAATAAATAAAATGTTTGGAAAGATTTTCAATATATTTTAAGAGATTTTCAATAAATAAATAAAATGTTTTACAAATTAAAAATTTACTTTTATTAAAAAAAATTGAATAAATATAACTCGACCTTCGAAAACATACCATTTTCAGGAGAAATAGGATCAAAATAGTAATTGCCCAGAAAAAAAAAAATTACAACGTTGAGTATAAAAGTATCTCAACCTAACCCAAACCAACCTGCGAAGCCTCCCAAACCAACCACGATAGGTTTTTAATTTTTAACCCAAACCAACCCACGAACATGCCATCTTTTTAATTTTTACCTAAAATCATTTTTCAAAACAAAAATTAATGGTTCAAAAGCACTTAGCCTTTTTGATCACTTTACAGCTAAGCAACAAGATTAAGCAACAAGATGTGAAAAAAAATTTCTCCAGAAAGCATCACTGTGGTACTAAAATTTTCAGAAACATAACAAAACTCACAAGCAGCAACTTCGGAAAACACAAGATGGCCTAACCTGGCAATCTCCCCACCATATTATGAGCATCATAGTTTCTATAGACCTGAAATCAATTTCTACAACCAGAATAAGGAAAAACACAACCATCCAATTTGATTCCCATCAACAAATCAGATATGAACAGTGAAAGACGAAAGTTGAGGCATCCTAAAAGCATGATATTATTTCTTATGAACAGCAAACGAACCCTTGAACAATATGCAGAGTTAGGTGAAGAAAAATGGAAATCGAATATGGGATTTGTATCACAATACGAAAGTATAATCTACAAGCACACTGAAGAAAACCAGATCTTGTTGCTCGTGACGAAATATGCAACACTTATCTAACCATGTTCATACAATCAACATATCATACGTACCACCGACCGAAAGAAATGCCCTCACCAAGATTCCTTGCCTAAGCAACCAGTCAAACATTTTGCTTGGACAGGAAATAGATATTTTCCAGAATAAAAAGCTTTACAGAGCGCTCTCAGTAGTTGATCTTCTTTTCAAAACTGATTTTATTTAACAGTATTTGGAGATGTGTGATCACGTCGTCTCATGAAGCCTATATATAGTGATCTCCTGCTGTTTGAAATAGCGCCTGTCCTCTTCATCAACAAGAACAAGATTTAAATAATACTTCACACTGAATTTATTGTTGATGTTACGATGCGTAGGAGTCAGCTCGTAAGGGCTAAGAAACAGTCTAACTGGAATAGATTCACCTACAGAAGCAAGTACAAGCTATTTTAAGCTTACAGGTTCAATGGCAACTAAAAAGAAGACTAGTAAACAGAACTTTCAGTCCACACCATCTTCATCACATTTCCCCTTACTTTTTTTTAATGAAAAAAACCGAACTTCGAATTCTGAAAGAATACAGGGGAATTACAACAAACCAACCCCAAAAGGAGTCCAATCAAGCAAAGTAAGACATACATTTCCACAAACTATATTAGCAACAAGGTTTAATATCTTGTGTCTTTTAAGGTTGTTTTGTGTAGTCTTTTAGTTTGGGATTACACCTGGTTAGGCTTGTTTTAGGTGTTTAGCATCGTGTTACTTTCCATATATCAATGAAAAGTTTGTTTCTGGAAACAAAAGCAAACAACAAAGGTTTATCGTTTGGTACACAAATATGCTACTTGCACTGCATTAGGTAATTGGAGCGCACCTCTAACTGGAGCTCCATCCATGAGCTCATACTTGGCCAGTGTCTCTGTCTCGACATGAGTGTTAGCTCCAGATCCTGTTGATTCTCGACGCCTGATCTCCAGATCCATATTCTTTATCTTAATTCTCACCAGCAGGAAATAAATCTTGCCGATGATAACATCTTTGAGATGGTACCTGTATGTACCAATTTTCTTCACTTACTAAGAAATTATTTTTTACCCTTCCATCTCTAGAAAAGGGAAAATGATCAATGCTTCTAGTTTCAAAATAATTATAAAAAAAAAAGTTAAAGGTAAGTGATGAAACAACCAACATAGCCTGCTTCTGAAAATGGCAATTAAGTTTGATTTTGTAGGTAACAAAAGATAAAACTCATCAAAGAAAGCTATGAAGTTGAGGACGTAGAATTCCTAAGAGCATAGTTCAAACCCCGGCCAGAAAATCTATACCACTTACTTGCTTTTGTTATACTCAAACTCGATGTGCAGGCAATCTTCAATTCCAACTTCCATCTACAAAGAGCATAAATAATCAAAACGATCTACAAAGAAGTTGCTTTGTTTAGTAGGTCTATATAGGCATTCGTGCCACAATGCCACTCAACCCAGTCGGTAAAAGAAGTGTATTTCAATGAGTCAACAGCCATAAACTAAATGCTTGCATCGTAAAGACAAGTGAATGGCAGTGGTTGTATGGTTCAAGGAATGGGGTATTTGTCTGTACTGACCTTGATACCATTATTGATTGATGGAAGTGGAGAATAATTGCGAACCTGAAGCAAATCAATTATTACAAGCTTAGATGTAACAGTATCCACATAGACTAGATAGATTTGCTACGGATAGGTTGGTAGCAATTAACATGTTAATAACGAGCTATGATAAACAAGAGTTCAGACTTATTGTACCACCAACCTCCATAATTTATGTAAAATGGAACTTCAAATGCTAGCGGTATAAGTACAAGATATGACAGCATAAGCTAGAGAAGAGGGCAAAGCATGCCAAAAAGAATAAAGATAAAACAAACCCTAGAGGGAGGGGGTGCGGGGGGTGGTGTAACAAAGGAAATGAACTAAACAGCCAAGAATCTAACAAGCATAAGTTCAATCACAAGAAATAACAAGAGAAATAATCTAAAATCTGGTAGCAGTAGAAATCCATAAAATGAAGAAAAGTGAAAGGAACTCCAATAGCTCGCTGCCTTCATACTCCGTCCATCAGCTACTACTTTTTATCAAATACCCCAAATATATACCAAAACACAAGCGAGCTACAAATGTTTCCTAATTAAAGATTCAGAAAACAGTAGCAAATGAAGGGCTCTTTCTAGTTAATGACTCGTAATACAGAGAAGACATTCATGAGGGTGGGGGACCTCCTTTGATGGGAAGGATTTTTCAATGGAAAGGAAATGAGGAGGGTGGGGGATCTCATTTGGTTAGGGGGGAGGTGTTTCGAAACCAGTGGAAGCTGAAGGATGAGGCGTAGGGAACCTGAGATTACGGATTGTGGTGTTTCAGAGAACCACATGCTCTTTGGTATAAGACCATAGTAAGTATGGACTACACCCTTTTGAGTGGGTGCCAAGTGGTAGGTTGAAGGGCTTGAGCAAGTAGGCTTTTGGGAAGGGTCTGATACCTATTTTTGAGAGGATTGTTGGGCAAGAAGCCCCTACGTGTGTTGTTCCCGCAACTTTATCACTTGTCTGATAAGAGGTTGTACTCAGTGGCCCCTATTTTGTCTTCCCCGGAGATGTCTTTTTCACTCTCTATGGGCTCTCAACATCTTCTACCCTAGAGGTGGTGGGCCACTATAAGGTATCCCTTACTATTTACTGCAACAATAAGATCAATTAGTACAAGAACATAGAAACAGAGGAATAATCCCTTGCTAATCGATTCCACACCCAAAAACATTCTCTCTGCCCCTACTACTAC